TATTTGACAGGAGAGCCACCCGGTGTGGTCTTCTGCTGCTGTAGCCCATCTGCCTCTAGGTTGGACATGTTGTGTGTTCAGCGATGCTCTTTTGCATACCTCGACTGTAACGAGTGGTTATTTGAGTTACTGTTGCCTATTTATCAGGTCTAACCAGCCTGGTCATTCTCAAGGCATCAACAAGGCATTTGCGCCCACAGAGCTGCCACTCGCTGGATATTTTTTTCTTTTTCGGATAATTATCTATAATCCCTGGAGATGGTTGTGGTGAAAAAAAAATGGTTTGAACTGCTGCAGATCATCTTGTTGCCATGTTATGGCTGTTTAGAAATTTGCGTTAACAAGCAGTTGGTCAGGTGTACCTAATAAAGTGGCCATTGATTGTAAATTTCCTTTGATCCATACATGTACACATAATAATGTAAACTGTATATAAAATTACTTTTTAATGGGACGTCAGACTCTTTTTGTTTTTTAACACGTGTTTCAAAATCCAGGAAAAATACAACCTAAATCATACGTTTAATCCAGAGTTTTCTTGTAGAAACATCCTGTGCGCAATGAATCTTAGGATGTTCGAGGCTGCAGAGGGTCTACTGGTTGTATACTTCATTACCTGGGAAATGAAGGATGCATTTTGAAGAAGCCTTCGAATTTTTTATTTTTTTTTTATGAGACCTTCGTCACACCGCGATGATGCAATGCCCTTCAAATGCATCCTTAGGAGGACATAGCCTCTAAAATGAGACAGCTTATGTGTGTTGAATTATTTTGTAATATCATTGTCAACTAGACAGCAGCAAATTTAATATGTAAGTAAATTATATGAAAATGTTGATTATTAATTATTTTAGATCTTCTCTTTATGCATAAACAACAACATTAGTTAATAAAAAAAATTGAGTATTTACTTTCATTGTAAAATATCTGGGTTCCATACGATTCCTTTATGGTGTTCCAACACAAATCATATCAGTTCACTTAATTGTTTTCACATATTATGACGATTGAACATAAAAAAAATTAAGTTGCATCAAAACAATCTCAAGAATTATGTTGATTTTAAAAAAGTAGTTTGAACCAATTATTTTGAGAGTTCCTTTTACACATTTTCTGTGCAGTACAGTTATCAAAACATTAGACTATCATCAACAGCTGTAACCATTCTGACAGAAAATACGATTATTCTGACCTGAGCTGATATACTGAATCAACCAACTCACATCTTTTTTTTTTCTTCTCCATGTTAATATTAAAGTCATCTGATGCAGCTTGGCATTTCATCTCTATCTGAAACCATTTCAACCGCAATACCTGCTCATTAGAGCCTTCACCAAGTTATTTTTAGAACAGGCATGTAAAGTTGTAAAGGATGCGAGCAATTTCTCTGTGCTCTGCTCAGTCATGTGACGATGATGGCGTATAGTTGATTCATTCATTCATTTTCCTTCAGCTTAATCTCTTTTCAGAGGTCGCTACAAAGGAATGAACCAACTATTCTGGCAAATGTTTTACACAGCGGATGTCCTTCCAGCCACAACCCAGTATTGGGAAACACCCATACACTCTCGCACTCATACACACAATCATACACTATGGACAATTAAGTTTATTCAATTCACCTACTGTATAGCGCATGTCTCTGGAATGTGAGAAAAACCGGAGCACACAGGGAAAGCCAATATGTCAACAAAGGGAGAACATGCAAACTCCACACTGATGCCAACAGGTCCAGCCGGGACTTAAACCAGTGACCTTTTTGCTGTAAGGTGATAGTGCTAACCACTGAGCCACCATGCCACCTGACATTTAGTTAAAAAAAGTGGAGAGACATAATCAGGATTTTGAAAAGTGTGGAGTGATGTGTTCCTCCTGTCTCCTGTGAGTTACGCTCATGACCAAATACACAATGCTTAATCCAACAGTCCTAAAACATATTTAAGTAATCTTACAGTTAAAGTCTGAATTATTAGCCCCCCTGAATTATTAGCGCCCCTGTTTATTTTTTTCCCCAATTTCTCTTTAATGGAGGGAAGATTGTTTCAGTACATAAGCATAATAGTTTTAAAAAACTATTTCTAATAACTGATTTATTACTTTGCCATGATGACAGTAAATAATATTTTACTAGATATTTTTCAGGACACTTCTATACAGCTTAAAGTGACATTTAAAGGCTTAACTAGGTTAATAAGGTGAACTAGGCAGTTTAGGGTAATTAGGCAAGTTATTGGGTCCCACTTTATATTAAGTGTCCTTAACTACTATGTACTTACATCCAAAAATAAATACAATGTACTTACTGTGTTTATAATGTATTTGAGAACACTTGTGGTGCTTTTGAGTTGGGATAGAGGTTGGGTTATGGACAGGTTTGGTGGCATGGGTAGGTTTAAGGGTGGGTTAAGGTGTAAGGGATGGTCAACAGTGTATTTACAAATATAATTACAAAAGTTAATTACAGATGTAATTACATACATGTATTTAATCAAGCATAAGTACACAGTAAATACATGTATTTACTCAATAAGTACATTGTAGCAAATTATAAGTTCCTATGTAAGTACATATTAGTTTAGGCCACAATATAAAGTGGGACCAGTTATTGTATAATGATGGTTTGTTCTGTACACTATAGGAAAAAAAATAGCTTAAAGGGGCTAATAATTTTGTCCCAAAAGTGTTTTTTAAGAAATTAAAAACTGCTTTTGTTCTAGCTGAAATAAAACAAAAAAGACTTTTTCCAGAAGAAAAAATATTATCAGACATACTGTGAAAATTTCCTTGCTCTTTTAAACATCATTTGGGAAATATTTAAAAAAGAAGAAAAAATTAAAAAGGGGGCTAATAATTCTGACTTCAACTGTAAGTGTAGGGGCATTTGCGGGGTGCAACTGTTTATGTAAAGATGAAAGAGTGTAATTGGCAAAGATTATTAAAAGACACTGATAAATATATGAAAGACTCAGACCGGCAGTTCTGTCCATAAAATACTGTACTTCAGAAAAATGTTGCATAATGTTAAAGATGGGATTATATTATCTGAGTCACAGGGAAAACCAGGAGAACAATGGAGAAGCCTCTGGCTATTGCTAGCCACATGGTGAGTGTGTTCAAAAGAACAGCATTTAAAAACAGAAATTTATTTTAAATGATAATAAATCTTAAACTGGTCACACTTTACAATAAGGTTCATTAGTTAATGTTAATTAATGCAGTTACTAACATGAACAAACAATGAACAATACATTTACTACAGTATTTATTCATGTTAGTCAATAAAAAAGCAGTAGTTCATTGTTAGTTCGTTAACTCATGGTGCATTAACTAATGTTAACAAGCATGGACTTGGATGTAATAATGCATTGGTAAATGTTCAATTATGATTTATAAATGCTGTACATGTGTTGTTCATGATTAGTTCATGTTAGTAAATGCATTAACTAATGAACCTTATTGTAAAGTGTTACCTTTACTGTCATTTTTGATCTATAATTGCATCCTTGCTACATAAGAATACTGAATGATTTTTCTTTCTTTTTAAGAAAATAATCTCAAAATTGTATTATTCAAATCTTTTTAGATACCATAATCAGGTGTATTGTAAGCAGGGCTGCATGATAATAGAAAATATGCACTAAGCAATTTTGCTGTTGAGAATTGCGATATCAATATTTTTTGCGATAACGTTTCCCAGATCATGATCCAGTATCATGTATGCTTTTGAGTAAAACATTTCAATAGTCTTATCAAACTTGTTTTTTAAATGAAATAATAAATCATTAAAAAAAGTAACTCATTGACTACAGCTGCTGCTAAAATCTCCCAACCCAGGCTCATTCTGAAAACGTACCGCTATTTACATTTCCTGAGAGCACCAAATACATCCCAGGTGCTACATTTTTTTGCAGTTTTTGTTTTCACAAATCCACCAGAGGCCGCTGTGTACGCTTTTAAGATCTCAAATTTCTCTCGCGAGTGCCATCCACTCCTGCTCTTCTCACATAAATCCACCAGAGGCCGCTGTGTACGCTTTTAAGATCTCAAATTTTTCTCGCGAGTGCCATTTACTCCTGCTCTTCTCACATAAATCCAACAGAGGCCGCTGTTGACTGACTGACTGACTGACTGACTGATCGATCAATTGACCCACCCTCCTTCTTCCCTAAACCCAACCGATAGTGTTTTCAAAAGCACTGATTGACCCCCTCACCCACTTCTCTAAACCCAACTGAGTTTAAAAAGCAATCCAGAAAACGAAAAGCCCTCGCCTGATTTTTACCACGTTTTTATATTTTACCACATTCTCACCCTGTTATTTACTTGTTTATTTTATTTCATGGCTTCTGTTTTTGTCTTACCCGATTTCTGGAACCGTTCTTTGCTAGAATTGAACCCCGCTGTCATGATCAACTCCTCTCTAAGTCTGATGACGTACATGGCGAGCTACTAGACAAACTGGTAACAGCAGAAAAGCCGTTCATACGGAGGTAAGCAGTCAGCTGGTAATGCGTCATACCGCTCAGTAGCGTTCGTTTTAAAGTTTGTTTGTTCTTAATTCGTGATCTACAGAAATATATATAGCGGTACATTTTCAGAATGAGCATATGTTGAAATCTCTATGTTTATTGCACAAAGCAATCATCAGGACCCAGAAGTATTGCCTTATTTTGTATAATTATTTTCTATTTCTTTTTTGTTGTTGTTAACTTCTATTTAATGAATACCCCAGTTTAAAGAGACTGCAGGGGAGGGGGGTGGGGGTATTTAAATTGATATATGTGATTATATTGTTATTTTAGCCTGTATGCTTTGTTAAAAAAATAATAAAAAATAATTTATTGTACTTCTCTGCAATATTAATATTGCATATTAAATAACTGCAACTTTGATCCTTTCTTGATATATTGTGCAGCCTTAATTGTATGTACACAAAAAGAAACAGCCTGTTTATCTCCATATGCCTAGTATTTGATCACACACACAATCTTTGGACTTACCTATAATGAGGATGACTTTGGGTCTGGGTCGAGATGGGTCAAAAACTTCATATTCCTCTATGAGCTCTGCTGTCTCAGACAAATCTGAGTCACTCTCGATGGAAAACTGATTGATGGGTGGGAGGCGCTCATACCGCCGATAAGGAAAGTTGGGACTGTCAGGGAGAACTGCATGGAAGAATCCAAACAATTAGTCTTGACTATAAATAATACCACAGAAATTTAACAGGAAATCCTAATACTGGGTTATTATTGGAGGAATATGTTTTATTTAGATTATTTATTACTGTTGAGGGACTTTGCATTGATTTGCATTTTGGCTTTGCCCTAAGGTGGGTAGAACAACGCTACCCAGTACAAAGACGGGAAAACCCCTGCTGATGTTTGTAATGCTCCAACACCAGATACTGAATAATGAGTCTGCTGTGCGCTTTACAGCTGCACAACAGTTTGTGGCCAGTTCTAGTTTGCATGAATTTCGGCATCGCCTACAACTTGGAGCTGCTTCAGGTGATGATAACACCTCCTACTCACCATTTCGGAAAAAGGATCGGCGTGACTGTCCACCATTGAGAGGCGGTAATGACTTTTTCTCCTGCCCGACGAACGTGTCCCACCGGACTTTGTCAGTCCCACCAAGATCCCTCACTTTCTTAAGGCATGTCTCTAGATATTCTAAAGGGTCATCTGGGCGGTAGTACATCAGACCAGTCAGCAGACTCTGTGAAACAGGGTCAGTTCAGAGAAATGCTTACCATCATACATAGTTTTGGTCATTACAGTAATTTGCTTTGACTTTGTTTCAATGTTTGATCTGCTCCTTATTCTTTCTATACATGTGTAAGTGTGTGCGTGTATTTTAAATGATTAAATCCATTTTTACAATAATAATAAATCAAAACAAATTTCAGAATTAACTACATTTCACTATATTCACTACATTTAAATTATAAACTCTTGTTTTAAATTCTAATACTGTTTCAAAATACGTTTGCTTTTTGTTGAATTTAAGACAAAATAAATAATGCAGCCTTGATCAGCAAAACACACTTATTTTTTTTGTACAAATTGGCACAAATATTTGTAATTATACTGCATTTATAATTAAAAATTGCAAGATATAATAAGTATAGGGCTAATTATAAAGTAGAAATACCATACATAATAATTCAGCTGTGAAAGGGAAGCATTTTGAAGAGTGACGCAGTTTAAGACAAAATAAAAATCTAAGTTTTAAAGAATAATTATAATGCATGACAGTTTATGACTATTTTGGCACTCACAGAACATTTAAAAAATAAAAATGATTTATTTTTTAAGAATATTTACAATTAACCAGTACGAAAATAAAGAATTATTCATTCATTCATTTTCTTTTCAGCTTAGTCACTTTATTAATCTGGGGTTGCCACAGCGGAATAAACCATCAACTCATCCAGTATTTGTTTTACACAGCGGATGCGCTTCCAGCCGCAACCCGACAATGGGAAACACCTATACACTCTTGCATTCACTCTTGAAGTCTTTGGACTGTAGGGGAAACCGGAGCACCGCACGAACACAGGGAGAACATGCAAACTCCACACAAAAATGCCAACTGACCCAGCCGAGACTCGAACCAGCGACCTTCTTGCTGTGAGGCGTTCGTGCTTCCCATTGTGTCAATAATGAGATATTTGTTGCAAAAGATCCAAAGAAAATCGGCACACTGCCACTTTAGCTCTCAAAAAGTCTTTAATGTCACATTTTGTTTGTGACATTAAAGACTTTTTAAAAGCTAAAGTGGCAGTGTGCCGATTTTCTTTGGATCTTCTGCTACAAATGTTTGTTTTTGATCGAGTACCTGGCTTTGAGATTTTCTAGATGTGCGCACATTTCCGTCAATAATGAAATATTTCAATAAAATGTCACAGCTGAATATACATATTACAAATAGCCTGCATATATTTAAAACCTAAGTATTAAATAATAATATACTTTATATTTTCAAATAAATATCCTATAATGCAAATCCCCGAAATCATACAGGATGGTCAGAAATAAAGTTTTACTACACTCTAGAAATCGGGAAAAAAAAATCGCAAACAGGATAGAACAAACTGTTTTCACTCTGGAGTTAGTGTATAAGGCTATTGTTCATTAAACAATAGCAAAATAATAACAGGTCACTGTCAAATTCACAGAAACCAGCTATTACATAAGCAGCTATAACCTGTTATTTCTTACAAGACCTGACTTTGATCAGCGTGACAGCACGCCTACCGTGTAAACAACGAAGGACGACGAGTTTCATAATTCCAGGCACGATTTTATGAGAGTAAAACGCACATACTAAGCGAATTATGTTTGATAAAACGCAACGTAACAACGAGCAGCCTTAAACATTTTAATAACCACAACTTAAAAAGGCGTTTCGATTCAACAATGCAAGATTTCTGATTCAGAAATCCGGCTGCAATAGGCTATATCAGCAAATAAATATTTGTCTATGTCATAATATTATGCAAATATTATCTTTGCTCATTACTAACGGCTATGTCTGAGGTGTTTCGTTTTTTTTAACCAAAAGCAAAAGTTCACAGACAAGAGCTCACCTCAAAGAGTTGAGGTATCTCCCTTCTGGAGAGATATTCCTTTGCATCGTTGGTGTTCATGTCTTCCTCGGGAAAAGTCTCGTCACTGAGTGTAGAAACTGAACGCTCTGTTGCAGGTTTCACGTTGTCGCGACTCCTCCAAGCCCTACTAAAGTGAATGGATAAATACAGCTACACTTTCAGTATATCGTTGTGCATGTTAGCTGGCAGTGCCGACCTCTCCCTCCTGCTCAGTATCTCACTTCAGTGTTTAAAACCGCCAACTCAAGGCGATACACCTGCGCGCTGATGTAGGGAGCGACTGTGTGTTTGATGCGACTGTGTTGGATGCGAGTCCTGCTGATGCGCGCCTTTCAGAGGAGGAAACTAGAACACTTATTTGAGATTTGCTTGTTATATTTTTATTTTATTATAATTTTTTTATTTAATTTATTTATATTTTATTTTATTAAAAATATTTAGTTTTTTGTTTGTTTTATTTTTTATTTGACTTTTTATTTCAATTAGTTTTGATTAAATAATTTTATTTTATTTTTGTTTGTTTTATTTTAACTTTATTATTTTTATTATATTTGAATTTATGTATTTTGTTTTAATTTATATTTATTATTTATTTTGTTTTTTGTATTTACATTTTTGTTTTATTTTTTATTTAATTATTTTTTTTAGTTTAATAAAAATATTTTTTTATTTTATTTTTTATTTTTTAATTATTTAATTAATTTATTTTTTTTCATCACCAAATCAGGGATCAAACTCTCCGTCTCCTGCTGTTCAGTGTTTGTCACGTTTCACGCTTTCCAGTTTGGCTGTTCTTGTTATGTTTTGTTTGGCCCATGTTCATTTTAAAGGGTTTTTATTTTGTTCTAGGTTTATTTTGTATGTACAGACGATGCTTTGTTTGTAATACACAAATATCCTCCTGTAAGTTTACTGTTATTTGTGACGTCACCAAATAAATGAAAAACACTGATCGTTAAAAAAAAACACTTTATTGAGAGTTGTTGTAATAAAATGTTGATGCTGATAATAATAATAATAATAATAATAATAATAATAATAATAATAATAATAATAATAATAATAATTACCATGCAGTTAGAAAACAACTCTAAAAACTTTAACATTTCATTGCATAATACATATATATTTATATACAAAGTTTACCCTATTATACCAATGGAATATTATTTATTATTTTTAAACGTTTGTATATTTGTAATATTTAATATATATATATATATATATATATATATATATATATATATATATATATATATATATATATATATATATATACAAGCATTATATAATAAACATTTGATTTAACATATAAAATAATCTAAACTCATATGCATACTTTATTGAGAGTTGTGATGAAATCACTTAAAGCTAGGTGTTTACAAATGATGATAATAATATTAAATAATAAAAATAAATATTCTTATTATTATTATTATCATAATTAATTGTTGTGTTGTTATTATATTACTATGAATTATATAAGATGAAATTGTTGTGTTGTTGTGGTATAATAATAATAATAATAATAACCACAACAACAACAACAACAACAAAAACAACAACAATAACAATAAGAATGATAATACTAATAATAATAATAATAATTATGATGAATGAACCGCCAACTTATCCAGCAGGTTTTTACGCAGCGGATGCCCTACCAGTCCCAACCCATCTCTGGGAAACAACCATACACAATCATTTATACTCATACACTACGGAAAATTCTAGCCTACCCAATTCACCTGTACCACATGTCTTTGGACTGTGGGGAAAACAGGAGCACCCGTAGGAAACCCACGCGAATGGAGGGAGAACATGCAAACTCCACACAGAAATGCCAACTGACCCAGCTGAGGCTCGAACCAGCGACCTTTTTGCTGTCAGACGACAGCACTACCTACTGCGCCACTGCATCGCCCATAATAATAATAATAATAATAATAATAATAATAATAATAATAATAATAATAATAATAATAATAATAATAATAATAATAATCAGTAAATAAACACTACAAAATGATTTCTGGAGTTTATATATATATATATATATATATATATATATATATATATATATATATATATATGCAATAAACATTAATTTTACATTAATTTAATTATTTTGTTCATTACTGACTTTTTAAAATATTTGAATAGAGACAAACCTTTTACATTGAAGTTAGGACTTTTACTCAAACCGGAAGTTTAGCGCTTCCTGGTTGTCATTGCAAATCTACACTGTCACTTGTACCGGTGACGAACGATAATGGATTATTCCAATTTATTTACAGTGTATTCATGCCTTCTTCTGTTTGTTTCCATACCATGCGCATACAGCAATTATGTTGAGGTGAGTGTCTTTATTCACAGCTGTTAGAAGAGCTGATATAAACACACTGAGTGCGTGAGCGCGAGCAGTGAAGCTATCGACACTAATATTCAACCTCTGCATAAATGTTTCTTTTATAATAATATATTATTTTATTTTGATTGTTGATTCGGATTTAATTCAAATATACACTGACCTTAGATAGTTAGATCGTAGCTAGTTTACAATACATTGCTATTATGTCGTCTAGATTGTTATTAACACCATGTCTTGGCATAATAGACATCAATTATTTACAAAAATTGTTTAGATGGTAACCAAGCACTTTTTGTTACATAACACATGCAATATTTTCGCTATTTTGTCTCAATAACGTTGTGCATTTTAAATATTCAAAGTGTATATTTTCAAAAGCTTGCTTTGTTATAGTGTACAGTATAAAAACGAATTACTTTTAATATTAACCAAATATTTTATAACATTTTCGGATAATTGTGAATTGCAAATAACACAGAATGATATGTCTGAAAACAATACGTTTAGTACACACACAGAGAGGTCTGTCTGTCTGTCTATCTATCTATCTATCTATCTATCTATCTATCTATCTATCTATCTATCTATCTATCTATCTATCTATCTATCTACCTACCTACCTACCTACCTACCTATCATCTATCTATCTATCTATCTATCTATCTATCTATCTATCTATCTATCTATCTATCTATCTATCTATCTACATCAGGGGATTTCACGGCCAAAATTAATGAAAACTTTAAAAATGTATCAAATAGTACTATATTTGGATCATGCAGTATCTTACAAGACATCCTATTTATTTAGAAGGTTCAAGCTGTTTTTGTTCATCCGTCATGCTACGGTGATTATGTAGGCTTTAACGTATTCAGCTCAGCACTCAGTGTGTAAATCACTTTCAACAATTGCAAAAAGAGACGGAAAGGGCAAAAGCACAGCTCCATCTGGCAGAGGAACAACTGACTCTGACCAAACTGCAGCAAACCAAGGCCAGACTTGAGATCCGCCTTCTAAAGGCTACGCTCAGACAAGCTGGTCTCTCAACATCAGACGAGGAAGACTGAAATTATTGTGAAGTTTTTGACATTAAGTCTTTTTTTATTCAATACATCTATATTTGACTTGTTATAATTGTAATTTTTTAAAGTGATCCAAATCCTACAAAATAGGTCTGAAAAACCCAAACTAAAGGTTTGATCTGGACCAAAACCAAGATTAGATTACGTGATCTAATCCAATTATGTAATTAGTTTTTTCTTATTAAAAAAAAAAAAAAACATTTTTAAGATTTGATCAAATCCCTTTAATCAAATCCCTTTGATCAAATCCTGGTGGATTACTTTTGAAAAACCGGGCCCACCCCTGGACACCCCTGATCTACATGTACTTATTGCTAAGTGGTTCAGTTGTACACTATTAACTGTGTAACTGCAGGGCTCAACAATAAGGACTGCCCGATGGCCCGGGGCTACAGGTGAGACGCTCGGGACAGTAGACTGGCCCAATCGGGCCACTGCTGCCTTTTTACTAAAGTTTCATTTTGCATGTGACTAGTTGTTATTTGCGTGCAAATACAGTTTTAGAATTGAGAAACAGTTTGTTTTTCAAGCTTTCAAATGCTACCTTCTCGGTTTTTCTTATCTTATTGGATGTTGTGAGCACGTTATTAGTACAGTGAAGAGACAGCAACATGGCGGTAACATCAAATGATGATGCTAAAGGAAAACATTTGTTTCTAACGTCTTGGAAGCAGACATATACCAGGGTACACCATGACAAAAAAAATAAGTGATCTTTTGTACAGTTTGCCGTCAGTTTGGCAGGTCTTTAGCCATCTTTTGTTTCAAAACACTTAGAATTTTGCTCATTACACATTTATTAAAATTTTTAAATATTAAAATTCTATATTTACAAACATTTTGACACGTTTTTTTTTATTTGTGGCTAAGAAATAGCTATTAATTTTTTTTTGGTGGGGCCAGTGAAAATATTGGCAGGGCAAGTAAAAATCTGAACCACTGGTCCGATTGGGCCAGTAGAAAAAATCCTTAGCGTTGAACCCTGAACTGTTCTTTTTGTCTAGACCAAAGCTGGACAGTTTTTTAGCAGTGGACACACTAACAACTGGGCAGTACTGGTAAGTTTGATGTTTGGATAATTTTTTATGCATTGTTATGAGAGTCGATTTTTTTATGCAAATAGCCTTTAATTGTTTGACATTGTATACTGTAGAACAATAATGGCCTTGTGATTTTTTTTTACCCTTGGTGGTGATTTACTGGCTATGAATTAGACATTATATGGGCCTGACTTATTCAACACAATGCAAATTAATGTGAGAGCACAATCACATAAAAGGAGTTATTAGTATGAAGTTCTGTGGTAGATGTAACCGATGGTCAAAATAAAAACAACATATAGCAGCCATATCAATTCCAAGCTGAACGTGTAAATACCAAGTGGTAACTTTTTTTTACATCTCTAACACAATACGTAAAGTACCTTAATATCTGTTAATTATAGGTGGGAATAGATTATGTTTTGTAAATCTGGATTAATCTCACTGTAATCTAGGAATTAATCTAGAGAACAGACCCCACTTTCAATACAACTTTGAGAATAGATTAACCGCAGTTTTTTTTTTCCTGTCGCCCGATAACGGCCCACCACTACAATTAATTATTATTATTATTAAAAATAAGAAAATTGGAGTTTAAGGAAGCAAAAGTCATAGTTAATGGTTTGCTATTAGCGAGAAGTGAACCTTAAAATTAAATGTAACTATAAATCATTTCCTAATAGTGCTATTCAATTATTTTGTAAAATTGTATAGAAACTGTACAACACAATGCATATTGCAGAAAAATAAAATATCGCAATGTCAGATGTTTCCAATATCATGTAGCCCTAGTATTTATACATGTATACATAAATATACATAGTACACTTGTGTATATTATGTAAATTCTAACATTTATTTTGAATGTGATTCATCTTTTGACAGTGTTGGTTGGTTTTTTAGTTAGTTAGTTAGTTAGTTAGTTGGTTAGTTGGTTGGTTAGTTAGTAGTTAGCTGGTTTATCTCAAATAGGTTTGCAATTTATTATTTTATTATTTTTTTATATACACTCTTTTTTTTAGAATATGCAAAAATCATACAAATACAAGAAAACATCAACAAATAACAAATACAAAGCAACAAAACAAAAACAAAACAAAAACAACAACAATATAGTCAGGTACTGGTATGTGCGTGAGTGTGCGTGTGTGCGTGCGTGTGTGTGTGTGTGTGTGTGTGTATGCATGTGAAGGTAACTTGGTGGACAGGTCAGAGTACATACATAAGGAACAATAACAGTCAATAAATGAAGCAAGTGTCACAGATATAAATAAAACATATAGAAAGAAACCAGTCAGAGGTAGGGAGTAACAACAATGCTTATTAATGTATGATAGTGAAAATGAAAGTAAAAAGAAAGAAAGGACACAGTAATGATAACTGACAATAATAATAAATCACAAGTGCTACACCAACTACTACTACAGAAAGTTACTTATATTGAGGTTTGCAATTTGTAAAGGTTTAAAGTTTGCTGAGGCCCTGGACTTTTATTCTGCTATTTAAAAAAAATATATCCATGTAGAAATAATAATAACGAATGATTAATTATTAACAATATTTTGTCATTCATTTAGAGCTTAATCTCCTCAAACATGTCATAACTTTTGTTTCTTTTTAGGTCTGCACTTCTAGATTCTGGTTTAATTATCGGCATGTGGCGAACACGCTTTCAGTATACAGGAGTGTTAAGAGACTGGGCATTCCCGACAGGTAAACTTTGTCATTTACATACATTTTGCTGAAGACTTTCTTCTTTATGTTTAAAAACCAAGACAGCAAAGACAAATTCAAAGTGAGATTGTTAAGCTATGTACTCTATGTTGCTAGTCACATGAACAGCGATCAATAACAGCATGACAAATCATGTTTTTTTTTAATCCAATGTTTGATTTCTTTCCTGTTCTGTGATTTGCACTGAATATACTCAAATATGCAATCTGAAGATATTTAAACGTGCATATGTGAGCCGACGAATGCTCATCTGGTCTGGATTGTCAATCATAATACATGATCATAAATCTGGTTGTCGATGTTCTGTCATCACCTTTTTGTTCTCTGTTACGTTTAGCGATGGGGAAAACAATTGAACCAATTGCTTTGCAAAATATATTTCGAAGCCTTCAGAAGCCCATGTGTTATAGGGACACCTGGTGGTCAATACAATGTAAATGCAACCAAAACATGCATAAGAATAGTTTTTTTTTAATATATTGCAAATTGTGAATTGAAAATATAACCTATAAATGCACCTAGCCTATCATCTAATATCATTAAATATGAACTATCTGCATAATATATGTCATTGTATACATTTCAAGGCTTATATATTGTTTATTCTGTGGTGTGATCTGCTAAACAGGCAAGCAAGAGACTATTAACTCATCTTATTCCTTTTTTTATGTTTCAAATGCCTCAATAAAACATCCACAAACTAGTAAAATTGATCCAAGATGATTTGTCAGGGATTTGCTGCTGGAGGGCGATCTGAGTGAGACTGCACAATTCATGTGGATTTTGTTTTATGCAGATCATTCCCCACCGCGTCTAGCTCCACCTTTTGGTATCCCTTTGTTGTGCTAGGTACCCTTGTGAAAGGGTACCCAAAAAGTGGTACGGTACTGTTCTTTACCTTTTGAAAGTGGAAACGGCCATAAAAGCATAGCGAACCGAACCGTACCGTACCACTCATTGGAAATGGGCCGTTAAACTCACCTCCTGATTCTTGATTTAATTGGACAAATCTGTTGTTTATAATCAATTTACAATGCTAGCATTCTTGTTGTAGTCACACATGTTATCCACTGCTTTCCATTATTTATGTTTTGTGCATGTCTTGTTACAATAGGGCAGTGATACTTGTGTCTCTATCCACAGTGAAAGTCTACCTGTCTGGTCTGATTAAATGTGTTTGCTCTGCTTTCTCAGTCACATTGTTCTGATGCTAGCCGATGATATGGCCTGTAACTATAGAAACCCCAAACCAGCTACTGTGTTCAGTCATAAGAACATGGAGCTCAATGTGTATGGAGACGACGTGGAGGTGGATTACCGCGGATATGAGGTGAAGCTGCTTTTGGTTTTAAATTAACAGTAGTAATACTGAATGTTCAAAGCTTTTCCTGGACAGGTAGTTTCAGTTTTTAAACTTAATGAAAAGAGTTCCAAATTAAACAAATGAAAGGGAAAATGAACCACCATGTCTGATCAATATACACTCACCGGCCACTTTATTAGGTACACCTGTCCAACTGCTTGTTAAAGCACATTTCTAATCAGCCAATCACATGGCAGCAACTCAATGCATCAAGGCATGTAGACATGATTGGGATGATCTTCTGCAGTTCAAACCGAGCATCAGAATGAGGAAGAAAAGTGATTTATTTGACTTTGAACGTGGTATGGTTGTTGGTGCCAGATAGGCTGGTCTGAGTATTTCAGAAACTGCTATCTACTGGGATTTTCACACACAACCATCTCTAGGGTTTACAGAAAATGGTCTGAAAAAGAAAAAATATCCAGTGAGCGGCAGTTCTGTGGGTGCAAAATGCCTGGTTGATGCCAGAGGAGAATGACCTAACTGGTTCAAGCTAATAGAACGGCAACAGTAACTCAAATAACCACTTGTTACAACCGAGGTATGCGGAAGAGCACAAACTGAACGCACTACACGTCCAACCTTGAGGCGGATAGGCTACAGCAGCAGAAGACCACAACAGGTTCCACTCCTTATAGCTAAGAACAGGAAACTGAGGCTAAAAATTTGCACAGGCTCAACACATATGGACAGTAGAAGATTGGAAAATGTTGCCTGGTCTGATGAGTCTCGATTTCTGCTGCGACATTCAGATGGTAGGGTCAGAATTTGGCATCAACAACATGAAAGCATGAATTCATCCTGATTTGTGCCAATGGTTCGAGCTGCTGGTGGTGGTGTATTTTCTTGGCACTCTTTGGGCTCACTAGTACCAATTGAGCATTGTGTCAATGCCACATCCTACCTGAGTATTGTTGCTGACCATGTCCATGCCTTTATGACCACAGTGTACCCATCTGCTGGCTACTTCCAGCTAAATAACGCACCATAAAGTGCGAATCACTGTACTCAAATGGCCTCCACAGTCACCAGATCTCATTTCAATAGAGCACCTTTGGGATGTGGTGGAACGGGAGATTCCATCATGAATATCATGAATATGCAGCCGACAAATCTGCAGCAACTGTGTGATGCTATCATTTCAATATGGATCAAAATCTCTGAGGAATATTTCCAGTACTTTGTTAAATCTATGCCTCCAAGGATAGGTTCTGAAGGCAAAAGTGGGTTTAACCTGGTACTAGTAAGGCGAACCTAATAAAATGCCCGGTGAGTATACATTTTCAGTAAAACATTTATCTTTGAAAAATCCATAGAGCTAAAGGCAAAGGCTTGAAATTGTAACACTAGATCCGCCACGTGGTACATTTTTACCCATTACTGTTTTTCAAATGTAAATAACAGACCAGGCCAAAAATATAGTGTATATGACTACATCTATTCGTTTAGCCATTTCTAAACAGAATTTGTGCTTAGGTAAAATGGATCCGCACTGACTGTTCTAGGGCTCTAATTTGACGGTCCATGCGCAGATCGCAAAACGCAGGGCGAAAAGGCTTTCAGGGCGTGTCAGAACGCATTTTTGCTAATTTAAGGACGGGAAAATCCGCTTTGCGCCGTGGCACATGGTCTAAAAGTGTTGAGTTTCTTTTCTTAATGAGTTATTGGTGTGTTTTGAGAATAAACCAATCAGAGTCTCATCTCCCATTCCCTTTAAGAGACAGCTGCGTCACGCCATAAGCGCACTCGCTATTTACAGGACGTAAAGTAAGTGGAAGTTGAAAAACTGAGCATTTCACAAGCAAACAGTTAACAGTTTTTTTTAACAGAAAACTGTTAAACAGAGCATCTACCGCACAAGAATGAGAGATAATCGATCTACTTTCACTTTCGCTCTCGTGGATAGGGAAACCTTTACGCACAGACATCAATTAGTCTATAAATAATTAATTTCGTTTGTTAAGCGCAAATATTAGTTTCAAAACTATTTCTAAATTCAGGTCTAATTTACAGCAAACGAATAAATGAACAATAATAACGAAGTGTGTTCAAAAACCGGAGTTATATTCTAAAACACATGCTATGCCCCTTATGGTCTAAAACCTGACAGGTGGGCAAATCTAAGCTTGTTTTTAATAAAATAAATATAAATATAGATATAATAATTAATACTGCTAATAATAATAACATTATACAAAATCAAATTGTTATGAATGAACTGAAAAAGCCTCCCGAGATGAAGACATAAAAGCAGTGGTTTTTCATATTTATGTAGGCTAGAAAATATGTTTTGTAATAATTTAATCCTTTATATTTATATCCTATATCTATTCTTATTATATCCTATATATATCCTTAATATTTAAATTTTTTTTCATATGTAAATATATTTGCCTATTGCTCTCTTGTGCATATTAAGCAGTGTGTAAGCGAGGCGCAACTCTGCACCAGAGTTTAGACCGGGTTTGTTTTGGTCTAATGAAAAATCTATGCCTATGGGCGCACACATGAGTGCAAATGCATTTGCTATTTAAACAGCGTAGCGCAACGCCTCAAAATGACTCTTGCGCCAAGCTGAAACTAGCAAAAGACTATTGCGCCATGCTTTGCGCCACATTGCGCCGAGTGTATGATAGGGCCCCTAATGTTAGACCGGAAAGCAACTTCTTCCTCTTTTGTGATAGTTGTTTATTGGTTTCTTTTTATTTTGCAGGTTACGGTAGAGAACTTTCTGCGGGTCCTAACGGGGCGTCTCCCTCTCAGTACCCCTCGATCCAAACGTCTGCTGTCAGACGACCGCAGTAACATTCTCATTTACCTGACAGGTCAGACTGGTTACACGCTTGTTACTGGCAATTTCAAATAATCCCTTTTTCTGAATCAGCCATTTTTCATTTTCACAGGTCATGGTGGAAACGGCTTCCTGAAGTTCCAGGATTCTGAGGAGATCAGTAACATGGAGTTAGCTGATGCTTTTGAGCAGATGTGGCAAAAGAGACGGTAAGAGAGAGTTGCAGTGGGTATGCATGAACTTTCACATTTGTTATGTTTTAATTGACATATGGACCATTTCAGTGTGGAGATGTCATTGGCCTGTGAACATTTCATAACTTACAACTGTAACAAGAGGCAATTCAATCTTATTTTAACATTAAAACTGCTTTCATAACATTATTTATTAATATGTGGACCTTTTTGGATTCTTGGAAGCTGTGGAAATTAAAAATGGGAAACAGGAAATACAGACCACCATTATTGTTTACATCTCTCAAGAAAGGATATATACACAGTGACAAAATCTTGTGGTGACGGGGCTCAAAAAAGCACATAAAATGTTTTTTTTAACAATCAGAATTAGATAAGTATCACAATACATGTCCAAGAGTCCAGATTACAGTTCAGTTGTTGCATTTTGCAAACATTTTCCTGCCAGTGAAAAGCTGTGGTGAACAATTATTTGAGAAATCTATTCTGCATCGATTCTAAAATTTTCTAAATGCATTGTAATTCTCTCTTAAGTCGATACTGAGATTTTTAATAGCAGCATTAAATATATATACTGAAATGTGGTTTAATGTTTGGTTACTAGGATGATATAAAAGGCAAAAATTGCAAGAGAAAATTTGCTCAGCATAGGTTTCTTAAGCAGTGAGGTTACTTGAGCCTGCTTGAAACTAAAATGCAGAAGGATGTGGTAATGAATGGAGGGACCACTTGTAAAATAGCTGGAGTACTGTCCTAGGTAAAGGCTGATTTATACTTCTGCGTCAAGTGATTAGCGTGATCCATGGTGCATGCCTTGTGCGTAGTCCTGCTTGCTGGCCATGGAACAGCTGGAAAGCCAATTGTCCCATTACATTTGGTCCCTTAACAAGTGAGAGGTACTCATAGAAACTGTAATTCGTCATTCATCTAATTTAGATGTAAATACATGAGTTAAAGCTGACTTGCAGTTATCTTGTTTGTTTCATTTCAAACCCATTTTACATGGTGTACAGCGCCAAAAATCTTAGAATTGTGTTGATTTCCCAATATTTATGAAACTGACTGTAAAGGATAAATAAGCAGGTTGGTGGGAAAGTCCAAGGCACAGGTTAACATGAGTCTACAACTATAAAAATCATGGTTTGACGAACTGATAAAACATCGTTTTGTCATTCAGAGCTATTTTGAGAAATTGTCAGCGGAAGAGTTTGTAGAAACATGTTAACGCGAGTACATGTAAACAACATAGTAACATGGGTCTATGGAAACAAGTTTAACATTCTGTCCACAACCACAGCGAAGCATATTTTGACTGATAAAGATATTAAAACAGACCAGCTCATGTGTAGTCTTGAATAGCTCAGTTAGATTAAGGTTGATTATTACTACACGGGTTCGAATCTTGTAAATGACATGCAAATTATATATATTTTTAAATTACTTTTGGTTAGGTGATGCAGTGGCGCAGTAGGTAGTGCTGTCGCCTCACAGCAAGAAGGATGCTGCTTCGAGCCTCGGCTAGGTCAGTTGGGGTTTCTGTGTGGAGTTTGCATGTTCTCCCTGCGTTCGTGTGGGTTTCCTCTGGGTGCTCTGGTTTCCCCCACTGTCCAAAGACATGTGAATTGGGTAGGCTAAACTGTCCATAGTGTATGAGTGTGAATGAGTGTGTATGGTTGTTTCCCAGAGATGGGTTGCAGCTGGAAGGGCATCCGCTGCGTAAAACATATGCTGGATAAGTTGGCGGTTCATTCTGCTGTGGCAACCCTAGATTATTAAAGGGATTAAGCTGAAAAGGAAATGAAGGAATGAATGAATGTATGAATGAATGAATGAATAATTTTGGTTATATACTGTTCTGCTACACAAGTATTAAAATTACTAATGCACCAAGTAATAGGAATCTTTATTTGGTATAGGCATGTTTTGTTGCTGTGAAAACGTGACAAATCTGCCAATCTGCAAACGTGAATAGCTTACATCTGGAAAGGTTAAAAACAGTTAAACAGTTAAACCGTAACATCGGTTCCCCTTCGGTTGGGGAACTTCAGTGCCATGAATGGGAGGATTCGGATCAGAAGCCGCTTATCTGGAGAGTATTGAACGGGCCAATGAATGAAATTAATTGGCAGCGTAAGCTTGCGCAGGTGTGTGACATCTGCAATCATCTCAGCATATAAGCACACCTGAAGCCAGCAGACGCCATCCTTTTCGCTTCAGATCCTTTCTGAGTGAGTCGATGAGGGTTCCTCTTGCTGATCAGCACTTCAGAGCGAACGAGTGTGTCTCCCGGTCCAGAGTGGGTCTTCGCGGTGGCAGACGGTCGAGCTGGGTTACTCCCTTGCCTGCGGTTCTTTGGGTCCGGTCCTCCAGAGCGGTGCGTATAGTTGCAACTTTCCTAAAAGAGCAACACAGTCGTGCAGCACGTCCTTTTCAGGATGGCGCTCCGACTGTGCGTTTCTGGATGCGGGGGTTTCCTGTCTCCGGATGATGGACACGATCACTGCATTGCATGTTTGGGGGTCCAGCATGTTAATGCGGTGCTCGCGGGCGGTTCATGTCGTCATTGCGATGCCATGACCGTTGCACAGCTAAGATCGCGGCTAACTTTCGCAAGAGAGCGAGCCACCCCAGTTGCCTCCTGTTCTAAAAAAGCAGCGGGCGCTCGGGCAGATCTGAGGGTTTCAGCGGGAGCTAATCCGCCGCCCACGGGCTCGCGGACCTCTCGCTCCTCACGGCGCTCCATCCAAGCTTCGGGTGGTGAGAGTGATCCGTCTAACCAGATGGTAGCTCTCACACTCGCTGACACCGGAGATCAGATGTCCTCCGCGGCATCGGAGGGTGGGCTTTCACTGTCCGACGAAGATCCGGACCCGCTCGCCCCCTCCGGGCAGGTGAGCGCTGTCAAATCGGATCCTGAAGCGGACATGTTAGCCGTGCTTTCCCGGGCTGCTTCGGCCGTGGGGTTGGAGATGGTTTATCCCCCAGCTCCGCGGCCGGACCGACTAGATGGGTGCTACGTAGAGGACCAGAAGGCGAAGCCTTCGAAGCCTCTCGTCCCCTTCTTCCCGGAAGTGCACAGTAGGCTCACGCAGTCCTGGAGGGCACCTTTCTCTGCCCGTGCTGCGAGTGCCTCCGCCCTCACCGCCCTTGACGGCGGAGCTGCCAGGGGGTATGAGGCGATCCCGTCAGTGGAGCGCGCTATCGCGGTCAATCTTTGTCCGCGCGGCGCCTCTACGTGGCGGGGTTTGCCCCGCCTCCCGTCCAAAGCCTGTAGGTTGTCTGCCTCCCTCGGAGCCAGAGCTTATAAGGCTGCGGGCCAGGCTGCTTCTGCTTTGCACGCGATGGCCACCTACCAGCGCTACCAAGCGCAGGCGCTGGCCGAGCTGCACGAGGGCGGGTCCAACCCAAGCTTATTACATGAGCTGCGCACCGCGACCGACTATGCTCTTCGGACTACTAAGTCCGCCGCGTGTGCGCTGGGGAGGACGATGTCCACACTTGTGGTTCAGGAACGCCACCTCTGGCTAAACCTGGCCGATATGCGCGACGTTGACAAAGTTCGCTTTCTTGACTCGCCCATATCCCAGGCTGGCCTGTTCGGCGACACCGTCGGTGAATTCACCCAGGAATTCAAGGCGGTGAAAGAGCAGTCGGATGCGATGGGCAATGTCATCTATCGGCGTGGCCGTAAGCCCGCTCCGCCCGCCGAGCCATCCACCTCCGCTGTTCCTCGCCGAGGGCGCCCGCCAACGAGTGCTGCCCCGCCCCCGCCTGCGCCTCCGGCCAAGCGGGCGCGGCGTTCACCTCGAAAGCAGGCAGCCCCTCCTGCCCAGGGCGCCGTTAAGTCCGGTAAACGGACCGCGAAGCGTCCCTGAGACAGGCCATCCGGAGAAGAGGAAACTTGCTCTTTCCCCGCTGGAGGGCGGGGCCCCGATAACAACGGTACTTTTCAGTGCCACCAAAACATCAGTAAAAGAGCACTTTTTCCCTTCCCCGGATGTGACTGCACGAGTTCTGCCAGTCCGGGACGCGCTGCCTTCCGGCTCGCAGACTCTACGTGCTTCGCCAGTGGCTCACGAGCGCTGGGGGGACGGTCTCCCTTCCCTCAGCCCTCCAGCCCCCTCTCCGGAGTCAGGGTGCGGAGCCAGAGCGAATCGCTCTCCTCCAGCTTTTCCGCGGGACCCTCGTGCTTCCCGGATCAGCACACCCACTCCGCGCTGCCCCACCGCTGGTACGTCAGCGATTGTAGCGATGACTCCATTAGCGAGGGCTCTGCCTGCCTGGTTAGCGCGGGCCAGCCCCTCGCGGTGGCTCATACGCACAATCAGACTCGGTTACGCGATTCAGTTCGCGGAACGGCCCCCCAAGTTTACGGGCGTGTATTTCTCCAGGGTCAACCCCCTGTCCGCCCCTGTCTTGCGAGAGGAGATTGCTGCCCTCCTGGCGAAGGGTGCAATCGAGCCGGTTCCTCCAGCCGAGATGGAGAGTGGGTTTTACAGCCCATACTTCATCGTACCCAAAAAGAGCGGTGGGTCACGGCCAATCCTAGATCTGCGCGTTTTGAACCGCTGTCTGCACAAGCTGCCGTTCAGAATGCTCACGCAGAGGCGCATTCTCCAATGCGTTCGTCCTCGGGATTGGTTTGCAGCCATAGACCTGAAGGACGCGTATTTCCATGTCTCCATTCTTCCACGCCACCGCCAATTTCTGCGGTTTGCGTTCGAGGGTCGAGCGTGGCAGTACAAGGTCCTCCCCTTCGGGCTCTCTCTGTCTCCGCGGGTCTTCACCAAACTCGCGGAGGGTGCCCTAGCGCCCCTTCGGCTCGCGGGCATTCGCATACTCGGTTATCTCGACGACTGGCTGATTTTAGCCCACTCGCGGGAGCAATTGATTGTGCACAGGGACGAGGTGCTTCGGCATCTCCGCCTACTGGGGCTTCAGGTCAACCGAGAAAAGAGCAAACTCGCCCCCGTGCAGAGGAGTTCTTTTCTCGGGATGGAGCTGGACTCGATCAC